GTGTGTGTGTGTGTGTGTGTGTGTGTGTGTGTGTGTGTGTGTGTGTGTGTGAGTGTGAGTGTGAGTGTGTGTATTTGCGTCACTCTGATGTCCTCTCGTTTAGGTCAACTCCCAAGACGATTACGGTGTGCTGGTAGGTAACTGGTCGGAGGACTACTCCGGAGGTCAGCCCCCTCTCAGCTGGACCGGCTCTGTGGCCATCCTGGAGTCGTACTGGGACAGCAAGCGCCCGGTCGGCTATGGGCAATGTTGGGTTTACTCCGGTCTTTGCACTACAAGTAAGTCCCATGGTTGAGGACGTGGGGTCGGTGGCCTTAGTGGTAAGGCTACCGGACTCGTAATAGTGTGGTAACGGGTTCGGGGGTTCGAGCCGGGGACCCGACGTAGTGTCCTTGAGTGTCCCTGGGAATGGCACTTTACACGAATTTTCCTCACCTCACGCAGGTGGGAATGGGTACCCGGACACAGACAGCGAAAGATCTTGTCAGTTTTAGTGTTAGTCTTTCAGCGCCTGTAAATGGTCGCTTGCACTGTATGCTTCCCAGGAAGTTGAGGTTGTTTAAGAATGCTTTCAAGTCTGCTGGGGTAATAGTAGTATAGATTGTGAAGCGCACAGAGCTTGCTGTTGAGCTGGGATTTGTACAATACAAATGCTATCTATTATCTATCAACTCTCATTATTATAAACCCTAGAGTGAGCAATGTCATGGCCACCACTCTTTGCTTATTTTACCCTTTACTGTCCTTTTATTTCCATAAAGCGTCGAGGATAGGCCTAATTGTCTGCTATGGCGACAATGTTGGGTTTTCTCCAGTCGCTGTACTACATGTAAGTCTCTTGGTCTAAGCCCTAGACTTGGGTTATATACCATTGAGTGGGCAGAGTCGTGGCCACCACTCTTTATTTATTTACTTACTTCTTTCTGTCCTTCTATAACTAGCAAGGTGTCGAGGGAGATCTAATTGTCTGCTATGGACAATGTTGGTTTATGTTCCCCGTTTCTGTACCACAAGTAAGTATCTTTGTCAAAGGCTCAGATGTGAAGTATAGAACCCTTAGGCGGGCACTCTCATGGCCACCATTCTTTATTTATTTTCTTTTTCAGTTCTTTTATACCCTTAAGGTGTCGAAGGTAGATGTAATTGTCGTACTGCGCGAGCTCATAATAATATGACCTTATATATTTGCTAGTGACGTAAAACGCTCACTAAACTAAAACTAAAACAAATGTGTTGCTTTTTGGATCGTCATGTAATGCCCCCGAGAGGTCTCTTAGACTCCATCGATCCATCGTTTTCTTGATCTTCCTTAGCCTTGAAGCTATCGAATCGCATACTGTAAGCCTTTAAGGCTGGCTTTGTGACCTTTTCAGTACCTGTCCAAACCACCTTATTTGTTGTTTCTCGATGTATTTCATTTTTGATTCGACGCTCATTTGTTGTCTGGTGTCTTTATCTCTTTGTCTGCCTCTTCTCGTGATGTTCCGGATATTTCTAAGATATTTCATTTCACATGCTGTTACAAATTATGTACTATACATTGCTGCGGTTTGTTGATGGGACAGCTATGGCTCTGGTAGTAGAGAGTTAAAAAATGAACATTGATCAGGTGAGCTGTTCCTTTGTATTCATAGGGAAATTTTGGTAGAAGAGGATTAGTGCTAGTTGCTAGGTGACCGCTTTTGCCTTTTCTACTCGTGTTTCAAATTTGTCTGTCCATTTTCCTGTCTGAAGTGAATATTATGCTTTCAATGCATTATTTGAACCCGTGTACTTGTTGTGTGTTTTTACTTGAACTTTAAACGGAATTTGGTTTCTGGAGATCGACATTACTTCTGTGTTAGCTGTGCTAATTGTCTTTCTATGTGTTTCACAATCTATATCATTATAAGTATATGTCGACTAGGAAGCACCTCTCGGGACGGTGCTACTGACCGACGCATAACTGTGCCTGGACTGCAACAGGGAACTGCTGCTTTTTCTTTCCAAATCCTTACTATTGTCATTTTCCTCTACTTCTTTTGTGGGTTGGTTACACTCTTGTGAAATGCTATTTCCGGGGTACCTTGCTAGTCAAAGGAGACTTAGTGCTGTTGAAGCTAGAGAGGTGAGCAGAGTAAGCCTGATTCCCTGTAAAGACTTCCCAGTTGACTCACCCAACCCTTGGCGCTCATATGACCTTATCATTCAGTTGCGAGCGCCGTAAAAACTCGACTAAAACAAACAAAAACAAAATGACTAGGAAGCGTAATGGTGATAGGACACAGCTTTGTCTGCCAACTTATGTCTTTTTGAACTGCAGCCTGTGCTTCCTTTAGAAATTATGATATGTTAGAGAATCTATTTTAATTATAAGAAAATTGTTATAACTCTTTGAATGACGCTGACGTAATGTTTTCACTTTTGTTCCCTTCAGTCGCCCGCGCTCTGGGATTCCCCGCAAGAAGTGTGACCAACTATGCCTCAGCGCACGACACGGACGGCTCCATCACCATCGACAGAGTCTTTGACGAAACCGGGGAGGTGGAGTACATGTCGGACAGTGTCTGGTGAGAATTGAAAAGTAGAAATAAATTTGGACGTTTTTAGGCTCCCATCGTTACAATTACAATTTATAACGTTTAGGTGGCGGCTGCCTGAAGCATGGTAGGCCTTTGTGAGTGTTGTCAAATATAAGTAAAAACCCACGGCAACATCTGGGCAAAAAAAGGAATTTTTGAGAAAAACGTGTTGGCTGCACTTACACTGTACTTTAATGTCAAGTAGAAGCAACAAAATAATGCTCTGCAGGCCTCAGTTGACCCGTGCGCCCGCGAGTTTGAAACCCATGGTGTAAGGTAAACCGTTTTTTTTTAAACCAAAAAGCCCTCTTATTACAAATTTACTGATTTAACTTTGCAGTTTGTACATGTATAGTCATAAAGCTCAGATGTTTGTGATCGCCTCGGCTTACCAACAAGAACTGACCTGTTTCCAGGAACTTCCACCTGTGGAATGAAGCCTGGATGGCGAGACCCGATCTCCCGGCAGGTTTCGGAGGCTGGCAGGTGTTTGACGCTACACCACAGGAAGCATCTGATGGTAAGGCAAAGAAGAAGGAGAATCATGCCCATACAGTGCAGTTCTTCTTCTTCCTCTTCTTCTTCTTCTTCTTCTTCTTCTTCTTCTTCTTCTTCTTCTTCTTCTTC